AACGTGAAGCACTGGGTTGAATCATCAGCACCACAAAAAAATAAATAAAATTATTTTTTTAAAAAACTTCCTGACAGATCCCCCTACCTCCAATTTTTCTTCTTCACAGAGATTCCCTTCTGAACTAAAGCCAATGCATGAGATAGCCCCAAGTCACCAGCTCATAAATAAAGAACCTCATCAGGGAAAAAAAAAAAAAAACCTTCCTGACAGAAAAGAGGTACTCTGCAAATGGGAAAAAACTGACTTACTGAAATAACTTTCTTTTTAAAGGTTATTTGCATGACACTTGCTTATTTATCTTTACCCATTTTAGGGCAGCATATTACTTTTGATTTATTGAAGGATAATCAGGAAACTGGGTTACAGTTACAGTTCCTCTTCTTCCTGGTTGTACAACCCTGGGTACTCTAACAATTTAAGAATAACAATTCATATGTCTCTTGCTGGATACTGCAATCTTTCTCACATCTTCTGCAGGAGAGCAAGAATGGAAAGAATCTGAGCTTTGGAATTAGAAAGACCTGCTTTTTAGTCACAAAAACCTGAACTAATCACTTACTCTCTCTTGATCTACCTATGTAATCTTAACTTCTTTCTTCAGATCTATTGTGAAGAAAAATGAGAAAAAGTATAAACAAAGTAAACTATGAAGAAGCTAAAAGTATAAGATAAACTAATAACCTGAATAATTTAGGGGACTGCATTTGCTTTAGACCTACTCTAACATAAACATGTTGTTAGATCAGCCACTTCCACCAAAGTACTCCCACTTTTAAGATGTCAAATTCTGAAATAGAACATAACTAATAAAGAGAAAATTTCTTAACTTGAAATCATTTTCAAATTTCTGCACTTGCACAAAGTATGCATTTTCTTGGGAGAGAAGTCATTGTTTTGCATCAGGTAGTCAAAAGGATCTCGAACCCAAGAATGGGGTTGGGGGATTTAGTCTTTAAATCTGTTAAAAAGTGAGTAACTTCATCAGTGTTCTAATCAAACTTGATTACCTCACTTCACAACTTTCCTCTGCACATGTTTCTTTCTCTGATCTTCATTTCTTCTCTTCACTCCTAATACCTCTGCCTACCACCTTCATTGGACTAACTCCTTCTCATCATTCAAAATTCAATTCATCTATTCCCTTCCTCTAAGAAGCCTTCCTGAACTACCATTTCTATCACCCCCAGGCTGTCGTGGGAACATTCTAGAGTCTCAGAATTCTGCATATAACTTTATGCCTCAATGGGAATTTTCTAATTACCTCCTCCTTGCAAACAGGGACTTGGTCTAATACATCTCCAAATTTCCGAAATTTAACACAATGCTTAGAACATAGAAAGAAGTTAATATGTTTTTTTTTAATTCTTAATATTTTATTACACATAGATGTGATATTTTAATGTTTTTTATTGGTTGTTCAAAATATTACAAAGCTCTTGACATATCATATTTCATACATTAGATTCAAGTGGGTTATGAACTCCCATTTTAATATGTTTTTGAATTAACAAAAATTTTTAAAATGAATATTATACTCCACAACATAGCGGTCTCTTTTACAGAACCATGACACAGAGCTTGATATATTACTTTTGTAATAAAAGTAAGGAAGCTATAATTACTGGCAGGTTTTGTTCTTCTCCCTTCTCCCATAACATTGTTGAAAATATTTAGGAATTTACAATCTTAAATAAAAGTTTTCAATCCTATGCAAAATTTTAGGAATCCTTCTGTATTTTTCCTTGTTTTGTTTTTTTCCAGTTGACATGCAAGTACATTATTTTGAAATCCAGTTTAAAGACTCCAAGTTTCAAAATCAATAGTTCTTAAGTATTATATGGCAAATTAAAATATCTTCCTTTAGAGTTTAAAGGAAATTTATTTTATGTATTCCATTAAATAAATAGGGAATATTAAAAGCAAAGATAAGGATATTCCCATATGGTGAATACTATCAATGAATTACTTTAAGCCTTCACACTTGCAATAATTTTTTATAATCAGAAACATCAAACTCATCTAAAAATGAATTTTTTCCTTAAATCAATATTAAATTTAAAACCTACTTCATTGCTGAAATTGAACAACTAATAAAAATAGTCTGAAACTCACATAAGACTGTGCTGTTCTTAAATGACTCAAAGATAAAACTGTGATTGTGTTAATTGGGATGCAAAATATTGACATTCTTCTGACCTTTTAATTTAGTATATAGTTCTCTAGAATCTCTCATTGAAGTGACTAAGCTAAGATGCTAAAATTAAAGCCAAATGTAACATTCATAAATCTCAGGAATATAGACAATATCAGAAGGACTTAAGAGAAATAATCACATAAACTTTCTAGCCAACAAGAAAAAATTTTCTATCCCAATACTTTAGGCATCTTTAATAAAATTATGCTTACTTCATTACAGAAGATATATAGTTGACAAAAACAATTTGAACTTTTAAAAACATTTCTAAAAAAAGATAAAAATTATGTAAGTGTACATTCCCTCTTCCACAATTCAAAAAACCTCAAATACCTAACCTAGGCAATAAAACTAATTTGGTAGCAAAACCTGACTCAAATTGATATGAAGCTGTTAATGATTTATGTTCACTTAGTGCAAATGTGATATTAATGTGTTTGATTACAAAGCACATTCCCTTATTCATTAGAAAAGTTTCCCCCCCCCAAAAAAAAAACTGCCTTTTGCATCTATGATCTACTTACAGAGTTATCTACATGGTTGAAAAAAAAAACTATCTTAGGTGTCCTTTCATTCCTCCACAAAATTCTTCAAAATTCACCCCACACAGAGAGAGGTTCCACAGTTCACAGATAGGTACCATGGTTCTTGGTACCTACCTTTTCCTATGACATCAAAACAATTACATCAATAAAGAAAAAAATCTTACATTCATCATTGAATGTTTAAAACTTGCTTTTATGTTTAAAGCGTATTCAATACATTTGAAATTTTTTATATTTGAGCTTCAAGTGAATTAAGAAAATAACATTTATTAGGTACATAAGTAATATTCACAACTATCCTACAAATATTATCCTCAACTTACAGATAAAAAAACTGAGGTCAGAAAAGTTGAACCCAAGGTCCATATCTAATAAGACAGAGAAACAGTACTCAGACAAAGATTTGAGTCCTACTTCTTTCCACTTCATTTTGCTAGAACATTAAGCTCATTTTAGACTATTTCCTGTATAGCAGGAATTTTCATCATGACTGACTTTTTCAGTATGCAGAATTGTTGTAATACAAACAGAAAGCTAAATAATAAATCCAAATAATGCTAAAGTAATCTGGTAAAGTACAATTTTGTATTAATTCTTTGCAGGTACTGATAAATTTGCTCAACTCTCTGTGCCAAAACTTATATATACTGACATTATATATACTGTACATTAAGTAAAGTTCTAGATGTGATAAAAAGCCTTTGTGGAGGACAGAAGTAATTATAAATACAAATGAGTAAAATAAATAGTAGGTTCAAAGGCAATATGTGCTATGGGAAAAAAGGAAAAGAAGACCAAGGTAAGAAAATCAGGATCAGAGAGTTTCTAGAGCCTAACTTGTTATCTAGCAAAAAGCATTTAATAAATATTTATTGAGTACATGAATGAATAAAAAAGTGAGCATGTTCAAGTTATGGGGGAGCTAAAACTATACAATGAGTAAAAGAGCTACTCTGTGGAAGAAACAAAGATGCCATTGAAAAAACAGAGACAGACAGAAACCATGAAGGGGTCCTGAAAGATAATGATCCCTTGAATTCTTGGTGGTTTCTTGTAGTTTCCAGTTCCATTCCCTGTATAGCCTTACCAATAGAAAACACACAAGAGAGAGAGAGAGAGAGAGAGAGAGAGAGAGAGAGAGAGAGAGA